GGTGGGTTTGGTGTGTGTGTGTGTGGGGGGGGGGGGGGGGGGAGGTTTACATAAGCATATATAAAGTTGTATTTGTGATCCTATCCATAGTCACATATGAAAATGGCATACAGAGCTGCTGCTGCTGCTTCTTCTTCTGCTTTCATGATCATATGCTACTTGTTCATGATTTGGCTCATCTTCAACCAACCAGTCATGTCTGCCCGGATACTAGCCTCCACGCCTAGCAGTAACTCTCTCTCTCTCTCTCTCTCGTATAAGGGTACCAATCTGAAAATGCTTTGTGAATAATACTGTAAAATACAATTTTTGGGCGTAAAATTATAACTTTTTGAGCTATTTATGGTAAATTTAAAATTACTCTAAGATTTTATGATCAATTTTAAACACTCCAAAAAGTTGTATATAAATAGAACCCAAGAGGAGTAATTTGACTCAAAAAAGAATAACTTGACCCAAAAAATATATTTTTTTGTTAATTTTTTTATATTTTTTTTGTTTATTAAATCAAGCTACAAGTTTCAATTTATATGAAATGCACCGGTCTTATTTTTTGTTTTTCTCGATTTCATTGATAGCAGAATAACCTTACTCTATAAGCACATTAACGCTCGACTAATATAGTATCAAAGGAACCCAAAAAGAGTTCTAGGATGCTATTCTAGACTTGCTCGAATTTTAAGTTCTGTTACTTCCTTCGGTATCACGGTCTTAACTCTTACCCACGTCACGGTCCTGGGTTTTTTTGCAGATAAGCCAAGTAAGATTGGAGTACATGGAAATCCCTCACCTATATCCCATTCTTCAACTGGCCAAAGTTCTCCTACCTCAGTCGCGGTGGCTAACGCCTCTTTTGCTGGAAGCATGACTGTATATTCCAATGAGTGCATCCGTGAAGCTAAGCGAGGCCACCCTTGTCTGGTGAACTCACCGCCACCACCAACACTGACCATGAACGGCTCTGCAGGGATGAATGTAACTGCTCCTCCTTGCACCAGCAAACCTTGTTAGTTCTCCGGGAACCCCACCACATGTAAACAGTAAAGCCTCAGGTTTGTTAGTTAGCTTTGTATCCGAGAAAATAACTAGTGTGACATAATTTGAGGATCTAATGTACTACTATCATTAGATTTAGAAATAAATCTCCAAATTAGTCTAGAAAATAAGTTGAAAATGGTATTAATGAACTATACTGGGGGTTTTCAAGTGTTGCAACATTAGATTGTTAGTGGGTTCCAACATTAAATTATCACTGCGTCCCAACACTATCAATTTAATGGTCATTTAAGTTTATAAATTATGTTCCAAAGCCAGAACACTCTCTGCCTATCAGAATGCTCAAACACCCCTATTTATACAGGAGGAAGGCAGATGACACCCCCATCTGCCAAGGGGTAGTTACCCACGTTTTTACTATTCTATAGCATATTGGGCTAACAGGCTTAAACTTTGTGCAACACCTGACAGACAGTTCCACCACTTCCAGTAACTGTTGTGGAACTGCCCTTCATCAACATGCATCTAGACTGGATTCAGACTAGGGACATCCAGAACTGCCTCAGCAACTGCCTTGACTGTGTCTCAGTATCATAACTGCCCACATCTTCTTAGTCATATGCATTGAGCAGCTATGTGCCAATCAGGTGCCCACATTTAGCAGTCATGTGTCAACATTCAGTAGTCAGTCTTGCTACACGAACCAATGTGCATGCTGGGTTCAACCCATGCCATGCAATCCGAAGCTATGCACCCACCACATGCTGCCATACTCAACCGGGTGGTCTCATGCTGCCTTGGTTCGTCCCAATCTATCGAACCACTTAGTCGCGTCACCTTGATTCTAATTTCTGGTATGTCTTGGTGCAAGGTGCCACCAAGATCGACCATTTGCACCCAAGTCAACTGGGATGTGACACCTAAAGACTAGACACTTTTCCAAAAGAACCCAAAAAGACACACAATTATGTCATCCAGGCTTGTAGTTTGCCAAATATAGGGAAAGCTCTAATTCCATGGGACAGCTTGCGAAAAGTTCTATTTTATTATAGCAATAACAACGTTACTTGTACATAATTTATTGGTTTCATTAATCATAATTATTCAATTAACGGTGAACCACAAATTTAGTCGGGATCTATTGATTGTTCCTACTAGTTTTTTCCATGAAGTCTCCAGGGTGAAAATGAGTCTAAAAAGTAAATTTAGAACTTATTTCAAAATGAATCTAAAATGAACTTATTTCTCATACCAAAGTTGCAATAAAATGTTTTTGAGTAATGCTATTGAGATATAATTTAAAGACATAATTTGAGGATTTAATGATTGTAACCATTAGATTGTCAGTGGGTCCCAACATTATCAATTCAATGATCATAATGCATTAAATTTCTAAATTATGTTCCAATAACATTAGTGACTTTAATATACCAACATTACAATATTTTCACACGAGGAACAGAGATGTATCAATTTTAAAATTAATGGACTACAATAGAAAGAGGATGAACCATCCAAAATGAGAACCTGCATATAAGGCCATAATAGAGAAAAACTGGAAAGGAATCTGACAGAACATCTAATCTTTGGGGACACTTGACTTGGTCTTTCCGTAGACTAGGTTGACCCAAGGTCAATGTTTGTATCCTCATGACCTCTCCTCCCTCAATTTTCTTCATTATTGTGGACCTACCATTTGAACTGTTCCTTATTGCTTTACACTTACACAGGGTTTATTGACAAGTTGTCTTCAACTTTTTTGCTCTATATAAATTCTATCCCTAAACTTCTAAAGTTTCTTAGTTTAGCCACTCTTTTAAATAGTTTTTCGCATTAACTTGCACGGATTGGCTTAGTAGTCTTACAATGCGTGAATGAAGACTCATACATCTTGAGTTTAAGTGTCCTTAGTTGCTTAAAACATGAACTTGACTAATACATATGTAATTTGATGATAGTTCATATATTTGAGATTTACTCTGTAATCATTAGTTCAATGACTCGTTTATTAGTGTAGCAAGATCAACGGAAAATCAAAGCATTGAGGAGGAAAAATTATCTACATTCCATCTAGGCTCTATTACATCTAGTGGAGTATCAGATTTTTTGGATCTTGGTGAAATTAAAGTCACTTTTTGGTAGACTTTTGTTGGAATTCTTTGATTTATAAACATCATGAAATTAATTTTATCATGCTGTATTTATATTTATTTTAAAGGGTTCAGGTTTATGTCCTCCCGTAGCAATTTGTTATCTTTAATTTGGAATTAATAAAATCTATCCTCGCATCGTCGAGATTTTATTAAAAAAAAAAATGACTAGTGACTTGGATAGCTTGTCCTTACTAAACAAAATAGTTATTAGCATTAACAATCACATTGAGACCAACTGCATTAGGATAGCAATAACCCGCATTAGCATGTGTTGAATCCCAAATCGAAAATTTGGAACGAAACTCTGGGGTATATATATGAAAATAATGACCCAAATGACAACTTATTGACTAACCCTTTTGGGTGAGTCGTGACATGAATCACATTAACACTTTCGGAAAGAAATTTGTGTTATTAACCCCCTAAACTCTAGGCACAAGCGTGCAATTAACCCAGTGGTTTAAGTCTTGCCCTTATCTAGTTCACGTGGTGGCAGAAAACAGCTTAGACATAGCACAGATATCTATCATATTTACTCAATTTCATTCAATCATAGATTACTCGCAATGTATAAATGACAAGCTCACTTATAGATAGTAGTTCTATTTGAATACACGGTAAACAATCTACTATATTAATGAATCACGTAATGATTTTTTTGTCTTGTAACTAATTTTTAGGGAATTGTGACTCTCTATTAAATTTCTCCTCACACTTTCTATATATATTTTTTTTCTCTATTATTGATATATTATTATTTGTTTTAATAGTTAATTATATTTATATATCACTATGTAAATATACATAAAAATAATTATATGCTTGATCACAAAAAGTCATGCGAGAGACATCTCCATCTCCATGAAGCTGGCAGTCATCGACGTACTTGCCACTCTCCCAGTAGTCAACCTACCATTTCGAAGTCACAAAGAGCAAATTTTCCAACTTTTAAAACGAGTTGGGAAAATTATACTTTTGATCCCTTTAATTATGGATTTTATTTTATTTTGCCACTTAAACTATTAAATTTTTTACATTGCCTCATCAACTATTTGAATTATTTCACACTACTCCGTATGTAAATGTCTGTTATCTTTTTTGACAAAAATTGTCAATGTGTCGGGGGCAAAATGAAACAAATTACATAGTTTGGAGGACAAAATAAAAAATAATTGTCAAATTTATTAGGGATGTTAATTGCTGGGGTAATTTATAATTTATATCCTTAAAGTATGCAGCTAATTTTTATTTAGTCTCTAAAGTTTCAATTGCAATAATTACATCCTAAATGTTTTAACAGAGTTTTAATTCAATTATTCGATTCAGATTTATTAATTTATTTTGATAGAGGGATATCACATGACTCGTTCGTAAAAATATATTTATTCAGTATAAAATATCTCTCTTAGATAAATAGATATAAATTTCTTGGTCTTATGGTACAACTCAAATTTTCACTTTATATCTTCTTTTTTGGGTTTGTTATCTTCTTTTTCTTCAAATCAGATGAAATAATTTACGGTTCTCTAACCTATGTAAACAAGTTTTTTGACTAGATAAATATACTCATTTACCCAAATCACGTGTTGGTCACGAAAGGTCATCCCGCTATAATAAATAAATAGTAAATTTGGATATAGGGACGATATCGAAACTCAAAATTTAAAAAAAATAATAGTTGAAGGGGTAATATAAAAGATAATCATACTTAAGGGGTCAAAGCATAATTTTCCCAAACACAAGTCTTTGGAGTCTTCTTTCACCCTTATCAAGTTCATGTGGTGGAAGGCATATATATACGTTTGTGGTTGCCAAGCACATGCATCCTCCTTTAGATCATATTGCAAAAATGTCATACAAAACTCCTTCTTCCATTGCTTTCATGATCGTATGCTGCTGCTTCATCATTTGGCTCATCATCGTCCCAGCGGGAGTAGTACTAGCCTCTACGCCTAGCAGTAAAAGCTCTCTCTCGGTTCACTGTTTTTTTTTGCAGATAGGCATAGTAAAATGATTAATCCCGATTCAAGTTCATTTAATCGGATATAAATTAACATTGTAATATGTTTATTCGAATTTGATCCAAATATGATTTGAATTTGGATACATGTAAATTTGATTCGATAAAAAATTGATTCCATATATATATATATATATACATAGAAAAATTATTATATATACATACATACATACATAGTTAGATTATTAATGAGATTGACATGAAATTAAAATTATTAATTTTTTATGAAATTTTGTTGAGATTTAAATTTTAAGATTAGATCGAATAATTAGATCGGATAACTAATTATTAGTGGATGCAAATATGAATTAAGATTTTAAAATCTATCGGATAAACGAATTGGATTCAAAATTCGAATTTTGTTTATTGAATTCAAATCTAGATAGAATAAGATCTGATCCGTTAATAATCCTAAATAGCACAGTCACATTGGATATTCTCTCTCCCTCTTTTTTTTTTCCTCTCACTGATATTTCATTTTCATGATTTTTTTTTGCAGAGGATGGCAGTAAGATGAAAGTACATCCACGACCCCCCCCTAAGGCCGGTTCTCGAACTGCTGTGCGCATTTCCCGCAGCGCTTGTAACTACGGGAACCGTTGTAAGAGGGCAGTAACAGGACAACCCTCACCTACGGCCGGTTCTGCAATAGGCCGAAGTCCAACTTTGCCAGCCTGTACCTACGAGAACCGTTGTAAACGCGTACCTCCCCCGTAGGTTGGAAAATCAGAAGCAGCATTTTCCATTGAAATTACATACGAATTACCAAGTCATATATTGTGTCCCTTTGCCTGCATGCAAACATGTTTGTCTTTGTCCTGTTTTAATATAGAGCAATGTTATTGGATGTTGAGATTTAATTTATTAAAATAATTTATTTACCTAATTTACTATAGTTATTTGAATTGATCATGAATTTCATCAAATATTAAAACTTAGTGTTAATTTAACGGTTATAATAAAATCACATTATTAGATTAATAGATTAAATCCGATTTTTAGGTTTTAATAGAGTATTCCTCTTTTCCTTGACTTTAGATCGCTTATCTTGTATTCAAATCAATTTTTTTTTCTTTTTTCATTATTAATATGTTACAGATGATACTGCTGGGCTTGGATTTGCTGTGCTTCAAAACACTTAGATTGATGGCCCATTTATTTTTATTTAAAAAAATAAAATATTGGGTTTGGGCTTTTTGTTTTTCTCTTGGTCCATATCTTTGTTTAAGGGAAATTTCAGTCAAACTCCCTCTAGTTTACAATATCTTCAATGATACCCTCTCTAATTTTTAAATTTTCAGTGGTGCCACATGTCAAATTAAAGACCTTAACTAGAATATAATTTTACTAAATTGTTCACGATATATTTTAGAAAAAATTTAATCAACACCCCCTCTAGATAGACATATCTTCAATTAAACTTTTTTATCTTATAAATTTTTGTATGTATTAAAATTCGATTCAAGCCGAATAATTTTTTTTTAATTAGCTCGAATCAAATTTTAATCAACTTGCATTTAATTTTAATCTGCTTGAATTTTGATATATAAAAAAAATATAAATTTTAATCGACTCAAATTTTAATATATATAAAATGAATTTTAAGTGGCACAGATTTTAATAAGTAAAAAAAATATAAATATTAATCGACTCGAATTGAATTTTAATTAGGACTAATAGCTCAGGTTGAACTCCAATCGATTCGAATTTTAATGCATAAAAAAAAATTTTAGTAGCTCAAATTTTAATACGTAAAAAAAATAAAATTTAATCAGCTCGAATTGAATTTTAATAAGGCCAAATTTTAATCTGCTTGAATTTTATGTAAAAAGATAATTTGGGGTTTATGTAAAGACAATTTTAGTATTTTAGATATTTTTTTTTATTAGAAATGATGGTTTATTTACAGAAGACGTTAGAGATGTTTAAATATAAACTAGAAAATGTATCAATGATGTTTTAAATATTAGAGAGAATGTCCTTAAAAATACGATAAATTAGATTACCAAGTAAGCTAACTCAATTCTTTTCGTAATTCACTTTTATTGCTGGCCAGCAACCTTCCGGGCATACAGATATCGGAGAGGGTTGTTCACTACCCTTTCACGACCATGCATACTGACGAAAAGGAAATTATAAAGCTAGACGTCTTAGAAGAATTATAAATTTAGATATTTTGAATTTGAATTTTAATAATTTTTTGGAGTCAAGTCATGAGAAATTATCCCTTATGAATATTTTAATCTCGGCATAGATGATCTATCTTTGATAAGACTGGAGGGAGGATTAATCGAGGTGTGCATAAACTTACACGAATACCATTGACCATTGAACAAAAAAAAAATGAAAAAAAATATAAAAATTTTGAAAATTTAAGTTGCCGATCAGCAAAAAATCTCAGCTCCAAAAAAAAAATATGTTTTTTTTTTATAAATTACGTTTTACAGTATATATGTATATCCAATAAATTGCTCAAATCAATTGATTTAATACAAAAATAATTTGCATCCACCAAACAAAAATTAAAAAAATATACAACATTTTATTAAAAAGTAACAAAATCATTACATAGCATCCTAAGTGCAATATACCCGCAACTACATAACAAAAGTAAAAATATATGTTCGAATAAAAAACATTTTTCTTTTTTGGTGGATCACTTACTATGTATTCAAGTATGACTCATTATATCCAAGTGAGTCATTAACTCATTAATGGTGGATGATTTGTCAAGAATTAAATTGAAGAGATTTAGTTGCCCTTCAGATGGTGTTAGTTGAGAGAAAGATAGAGAGAGAGAGAGAGAGAGGCGTGGGTGGGTGTCATATTAGAAAGAACAGATACGAATATGAGATACGAGTATGATACGATATAGATATATCAATACAATAAAACTCTAAAAAATAGGCTATGGGTACGATTATGATACGTTTATAAAAATATATATCTTATATTTATATTATTATGTAACAACTTGATAGCTACAATGTGGTTAAACAACATTAACAATTTTTTTATTTCAAAGAGTCACCTATTATCTCATTATAGTACATCTACAAAGTGATTGTGATTAATTTTAAAGAAATAAGAACCAACATTTAACTAGATTGTTTGTTGAGAAGTGTTTGTTGCTAAGATTATTTTGCAATCAATTCATTTATACACTTTGGACGCATATTTAGAAAACATCCGTGTGCCTTCAAAGTCATATGTATTATGGTTGATATATTACATTGTATGTGAAATCGAAGGGGTAAAGATTAAAACTAAATATTACATATTTATATACATATAGAAATATCTGCGAAGTATCAATATATTTTATTTATTTTTGAATTCGTTTGATGTTTATTCGATACATATCTTTGAGTATCTGACAAGTATCGCATTTGACCCATTTGCTACCCGTATCAGTTTTGAGTTGTGTCGAATTCGTGTTAATGGGTAAAATTAAAAGCCCTAAATTGTTAACACTTCACTGTCGTGGATATGGTTGATGCTCTGAAACGAAAGTGCGCGACTCTGCGTGGGTTTAGTGGTTGAATTATGTGTTTGCTTTAGCTGATTGTTGGTGTAATCTTAGTAGGATATTCAATGGGTTTGCTTTTGGTGGGTTGTTGTTGTTGGTGTCTTTTTGGTGGGATATTCAATGGTGCTGGGGATGTAATTGGATGCTACTATTGTAATGCAGATCACGTTTTGGGGTGTATTTTAATTTCCAATTTTACTTGTTAGAATAGGGAATTGGATAACAAAATACAAATTTCATTGTCCAATTTATGGCAGTGAAAAATAAATTCACTATTCTTTTTTTTTTTTCTCATTGAAAGAGTGGTTAGGGACGACTAGACGCAACAACTGATTCAAAACGTTAACTTGAGATTTCCACCTACTGTAAAATGTTCGATTTGAGTAATAGCTACTGACTTGAGATGGTTGAGTACGTCACCACAGCTTCACTGAGGACAAACTAGACATTCAGTTCCTCCAGTAGTATCTGGTTCATAGAAAATACTACCGCAAATGGATTCAAACTCATGACCACTAGAAAAGGGTGAGACTTTCACCCCTCTATTGAAAGTCAACTACGCTACAACCTGGGTAATATAAATTCAGCCCCTTCAACAGTATAAATTCACTATTCGATTTTTTAACAGTAATATACAAATTTTCATTGATCAATTATAGTTTTTAGACTAGAACTAGTACTAATCAAACAATCAAAAAAATAGTACTAATCAACAAAATCATTCGGTCATCAGATTATACAACAACTTGCAGTCAGCTACACAATTTTACTGTCTGAATTATGATGTTGAAATATGTGTTTCACTACCAAAAATTCCATTGATTGAAAAGTTCACTTATTTAGTAGATGTGTTTCACTTATTTAATCCCAAAAGTGACTTTTAGTGAATATATACACAGTTTTACACACTAATATTAAAAGATCTGAGAATGATACGTGACAATATTTAACAACCAAAATTGAGTCAGAGAAGTTTCAAGTGAGATAAAACGGTTATGAGTAATTTTCTCCAAGGATCTTGGGATACGAAGAAACGTGACAATCGTGACATCATGAAGTAGTCTGTCGAAAATGATTTTGACGCACGTTGATAGCCGTTGGAAAGAGAGGCCATGGATGTTAGTTTAGTGACTAAAAAAGATGGTTCCAACAGTTAGAAGTCATCACTTATAAATACAGAGACACATGCAACATTGAGAGGATCTCTAGATCAACACAGACACAAGCAGTATCCCAGAGCCTTCTTCTACACTGTTTAAGTTTATAATCTTTTATTTTACTCCATTCTGTGATTTCCTTTGTCGTTACTCTAGTGACTTTTCTCCGTTCAAATCCAATTCCAGTTTACTTTCAATTCCTAGTTTGTAATAGGTCTTGTTTGTTGTTTATTTTGCTGTTCGTTCCTATTCTAGTTTGCTTTCAATTCCTAATTTGCTAACCTGCTCCTAGAGGGAATAGTTTGAGTGTTTGATCTTCAAGGCAAAGAAAAAAAAATTTAAAAATAATCATACAATTCATTTTAATTACTTGAACAATCACGATTTAAAAAGCTTAAAGCAGTTCGAATAAGTAAAGTCGTAAGTGTTTGTAAATTAAGTACATTCAAATTTTGGCACCCTTGCAATCCAAAATATGATTAATAGACACGAACTACAGTATCATAATTACAAAAATTATACTCTTACAACTTTTTATTTAGTAAATTAAATTAGATTTTAAGGTCTTGAGCAGATTACTCATTTTTTAGTGATATGTCACATAGCTCATGTCTGACATAGAATATGGGACATTGGCAGCAATATATTTGGAAAATCTGAAAATTACCTAGATAACTTCAGTAAAAGAATGAGCAAAAAAGCTTATATATTTTCATTCTTAAGACGTTTGAACTTACTAGACTTAGCCTAGTTAGTCATTTTTAATTTTTTAAAGACTTTTCCAATCAAGGGGTCAAGGAATGAATTGATTTCTGTAACCCCTTTTTGGGAATTGTGGCCCTCTCAAGCTTCTCTCTAGATTTTATTCCTATGTGAGAAAAATAATATTATTTCTCTTGATAGTTGATTATATTTAAAAAAATGATGATCTGGATACAAGACAAGATTAGATGTACATAGTTTTACCATGGTAAACGAAGAAATTGTTTTCAACACTTAAACCCTTAATGTCTATGAAACACTGGAGTAATCTTATCGCTGCGCCAAGACTCACGCCTAATTTATTTTTTTTGTATAGTGATATACAAATATACATGCAGGAATAATTATATGCTTAAAATCATGAGAGGGAAATTTCCATGAAGCTGACA